ATATATATATATACATCTCTGCTCACAATTACTGTGAATCTGTCTCAGAGCCACTGAGGTCTCCTGTCACACACCATATACACCCATCGCCTCTCTAAGAGTGTAATCAGACCTCCAAGCCCACAGGCTTTGTAGGCTGTGATATGCAACTTTTTATATACCGACTTTATCTCTATAATTCTCTGCAAATGCTTTTGAAAAAAAAGAGCTGAGCTACTCTGCTTCATAAATACCCATATTTATGGACAAAAATATTGTTCAATTTTCAAATTTCATACTAGCTGGTAATTTCAAATTCCACTTAAACACTGCCACTTTGTTATCGGTACTCTAATTCTGGATGACACAACATACTGTTTATATTAATAAATAAATAAGTCAATAAATAAATAAATAACTATATCAATTTCTACCAGAATCTCTGTTATGAAAGTCAAAAAAGTTAAGCTTCATTTCCAATTTATTTACCAAGTATGCATTTCAAAGTTTCTTTGAGTTTTAGTGAATATTAGAAAGGAAAAAATATCCTAACACTTTATTCTTTATTTTACTTTTGCCACGTCCATTTGTTCCAAGAATAAATTTCTAGAATTAAAAATCCTGATTTCTTGAAAGAGAGTGGGTTTGCTAGTATGTAGAATATAATAGAGAATAATGGCCCTAGAATCAGGACAGTGGTCCTTAAAGATCTTGAATCAAAGAATTTGGGTAATATTTTTAACAGAAATTAAATTTTCTATGATGTTCATGGAGAAGCATATAAAAGTAAGGAACACATAGAAATCCCATATTCCTACTTTGTACACTAGATTTGGCTTTGTTGCTTACAATTGATACCTACTCATTCATGGAGGACACTGCTTTATGATGGTGAGGAAGGAGAGAATACCTATGACTGAATAAGGACTAGCAGTGTCAGCTCCTAACATTTTGACTTAAATTTCCTTTTATTTATTATTTTGTGTATATGCCATGCAAAAGCTAGTACAAGGCACTTTGTTTGGTACCTTTTTCACTTTACACAACAAAATCAATTTCAGCTAACATTTAAAAAGGACGTGCAATGCACAGGAAATGATGCTGTTTGTTCTGTTATCATCATGCAGTCACCTTAACCAATCAGACTATTTTCATTTCCATTTTATTAACCAGGAAGCAGCCTGTTAGAGAGGTGAAACCTTCTGCCCAAAGTCAATATGCTTGTTACAGAACTGGTCAAGGTTTGAATACAAGTCTTTTGCTACACATCCTTACACCAACATGACTGCTGCTTCTGATCCCTGGACTGCTTTAACCACAAAAGCACCAATAAAAAAATTAAAAACAAAATGGAGGTTCTGAAATATTAAATAAATATAAAGACTTTTTCCACAATGAAGTCGATGAGCTTTACTTTAAGAACCACAAATAATGTGCATTTACCATATATTAAAATGCTGTTTATTTAAAAAATAGACAAATAGATGAATACATTTATTTACCTAACTTTAGGAAAATGTCACTGTAACCCAGTTTATCAGCTTTTCTGGATCTAAATCTTTCAAGAAAATTAAGACTTTCCTAATTAATATTAAAGACTCTGTCAAAATAAAGGTGTCAGTATTAGTAATATCCAAAAGGTAATAATCCAGGAATTTTTCACTTTATAAGTGGGAGCTAAGACAGTTACTGATAAAGTTCTGTTTTTATTCTGAGGCTACCATTTTTACATATTTTACACTAGAAAACATTCATGCTGTCCCAGTTCCTGCACAATTTTTATACTGTATTCATAGCTCCACAAGAAGCTGCCTATGCGTTTCTGTAAGAAATGATTCACATTTTCCAAACTCAGTTTTAAATCCTCTGAGAGAGATCACACATGTCGTGCCATAGTTATGCCTTCCTCAAACGGATTCTGCTGTCTCCTCAGTGAAAGGTTTGTCCCGTTCTTTTCACCTCTCTTCTTGGCCTTTTAATTCAGATGCCAATGCTATTTCTTTTTATTTCTTTAACTGTAAAATGGACAAGGACATCATAAATAATAATAAAATATTTTTCAGCATGTCAGCTTTAAAGTTCTGGTAAATTGAACGGTAACTTTTCAGCAGATTAGGTGTATTCATTGCAGGTTAACTTCATTCAGTCCCTTCTTCGCTTTCAACCTGACTAGAGACAGTGGGCCTAGGCAGCTAAGTGAGATCAGATTTGTCGTTTAAACTGAGTCATGCCTGACATTTGCTGTGTTTAAAAAGCAGAGTTCGTGGATGTCAGTGATGCTATCTTTTAGATAAAGACAACTTTTAGTGTGCTGAGTTTTAGTGTAAAAGTGGAGAATAGCGTATCTTATAACTATCTGTCAAACTGCTAGCTCAAAAGCAGTACACTAGAAGATAAGATGAAATTTTTAGCGATATTGAGTAGTAAATCAGAAAGTGTTTGAACTCAAGACCCTTCCCTTTCCAAATTACATAATTTTAATGATTATTCAACTTTTAATTAAAGGTTTAAGCAATTTATTCTCAGTGAGTATTATAGCTATTAAGATTAATCATAACTTGCAATAGTTTTTAAATTAACAGAGTATTTCGTTTAACAAATCTTTGTGCAGTAGGGCAAGAAATAATTACATTTTATTTCTCTTAAATGTGTTAGTAATTAACATTTCTAATTTTGTATGTGAAATAAATGCTTTGATTTAAATATAAAAGAAAATTGATAAAGACAGCACTTCAATTTAAACTGAAGTCACAAGATATACTTACTCATTTTTTAATTAAATTTTTCTTCTACCTGTTACCATACTTTCCTGTGACTTTTTACAGATGATAGGATTTTGCTGACAAAAAAACTTTCAAAGCTTGTTCAAGAAACTACACTTGGTCTTAGCCAAAAGGCCGAGAAGCGATTATTCAAGAAATTGATGGCCAAAGATCTAAAATAAAAGTAAACTAAAGCTAAAAGTACAAACAATGGCCCCAAGTACAGATTGAGCCAGCTTCAGAGTGTGTTTTAATGCAATGACCTGAAAGCATCTTGTATAGACATTGAGAGATTGTTTACGGATCAAAGTGCCTAGATACAATTTAAATAGTAAAGCTACCTCATGAATAATAGGCCAGCACCATATCTTGTCACCTCGTGCTTTCTGAGTATTATGGCTTAGCATGAACTGCGAGGCAGAATTTCCATTTATAACAGTAGTTCACTCTGAACCTAAATTTTACTCAAGTAACAATTGGCTAAAATTACTAAGTGAACAAAAAACCAGTTACCTTCCTAATTCAAAATCACAAATAAAATCATAAAGTCAAACTATAAATCTCAACTATTTCTTACAAATTGTAATTCAGTGCTTCTGATATCAAAAGGACTCAAATTAAAAGACATATGTTCCTAAAGTTAGTAGATGGTATTACTAAATATGTTAGATGGCAATAAAATATTATGCAGAGTTTCTGATTAAAATATTCAGTGATAAAATTAATTCTCTAGATTCTTTTACTTTAGTCAAATTAAAATACATTTAAAGAAACAA